ACAACCCTCAACCCAACATCCTGTGGTGCATGCGGACATCCCTTCTTCCTCGAGGCATCCTCCACAAGGCCTGGTGGACGAAATAATTCAAAGCATGGAGTCGATGAGGAGAAGACCTCAATTGCCACCCAGGGAACCAATAATGATGGAAAACATTCATCAATACATGTACCAAGAACGCGAAGAAAGACTGTCAACTAATCCTCCAATCCTATCGCCAGAGTCTATGAACCTTCTATGTCATCGTTTCATAAGACATACTACTCAACCACCTCAAGCTGTCTTTTCAAACGATGGAATAAGAAGAGTCATAGACTTAAATATAAAGTCATTTGCCAACAAAGCCATACGCTACATCGAGTTCAGTGTGGAAAGAGCCCATGGGGTAGTTAGCGTGTTTAATGAGAACGATCTCATCAACCTCAATCCATATGACTTGATTGAGTTATATGCCTACACAGCTCAAAGGAAAGATCATGGGATACGATTTGGAATGGCGAACAGAGCTATTGTCAAGACAATGGAGTCCCTGGTGAAGCACTGAGCCAAAAGCGATTTTGAAATTGCTTTTAGGCTAGGCATTGAGAGGTTATCCTGCGCTCCTCCAAATGAAGATTTCCAAGGCTTACAGGAGAGACGTTCTTCTTCAGTTCTTACTCAACCTGAACTCGGACTTGTTTACAAGAATGAGTTTGGGGTTAAAAAGTTCTTTAGATTGACTGAAGCCTTCAAGTATTCAACAGATACACTTGAATGGTTTCAGAAAAACATTAGAGAAAGACTGGGCAGAAACCATGTTCCAAGGGAAAAGGGAAGCCATCTCATACATGAGATATCAACCATCATTTCTTATCGAAGACTACTCTTACGCTTCAAATAAATATACTCAGGTAGTTAGCGATGAGATGAAATTTTTGCTTATTTTGTGTTGATGTAATTTGTTTCCAATATTGTAACGAAATTTCATCATCCAATGAAAAAAATTGGAGTTTGATGTTTTTCTACTAGACTAGTGTCTGTTCTTCACATATGTGTCTAGATTAGACTTTGTTTGTTTTCTCATTACTTAGGGGGAGATTGTTAAAACCCACAATGCAAAATGTAAAAAGTAATGAAAAACAACAAGTGATGAAGAACCAGAAGACCAATGAAGACATCAAGGTAGAATCAACTAAGTCTGGAATTCAACCATTGGATCAATGGATAGCTCAACCA